CCGAGCTTTTAGTCCTGCACCTCATCTGGGCAGGTGGTGGATGATATCTACTCAAAGTGGAGAAAAATATAACTAAATCTGGATAAATGAGGACCAATATGGGTTGGCCTGCTAACTGCAACATTAGCAGTTCCAACCACCAGTCATTCCACAGGAGAAAGACAGACTTTGCTGCTCCAGTAAAGACTGACAGCCTTAGAAACGCAGAGAGGAAGTCCTACTCTCTCCTGTCATGCTACTCTGAGCTGAATTGAGTCAGTGGCAGTGGGTTGAGGAAAATTGGGACATACAGAAAGAGCTAGGACATTGTACAGACTGGAGGCACAAGTATACCACATGAAAATTCAAGTGACACAGCAGAACACATAAGAGAGACAAATGTTTGCATAAGAATTACTGCAAGGTACGAACATTATTGTCATTATCTTATTTCTCATTTTTATATTTATCTTGTGCTCTTAGACAACAATTTTGTGGAAAAATGGAATTAAAAGATATTGGAATTTTTCTATGAATGTTTTAAAGTCTCTCATATAAATTATCCGATGTCTAAATTTAAAAATATCTATTAATGCTAAATAATTGGATTGGATTAATATTTTCAAAATATTAATGAGAAATAATTGGATTTTTAAACCCTAGATTAGAGTACTAGTAAAGATTTTGCATTCCTTCAAAAAAGAGTCCTAGTGGCACAAGGAGGAAGGGAGTCAGTCCGTTGTAGTAGAAGGTTGGTGATTGGGTGGCCCAGCTGCTCCAGGGCAGGGCGGTGGGGTCATCTGCTTTCAGGAGGATTTTCAGTCTCAGAGGCACCGACGGGCTGCTATGCTCTGACTAGGAACTCAGACCACAGGGTTTTGAGTTTCAGTCTCTTTGTCTTTTCTTCTTTTCCTTTCTTTCTTTATTTTCTTTTTCCTTTTTTTGGAGAAGGGAACATTTTACTGTAATTTGGGTACAGGTATGCCTAGCAAATTAGTTTACCATTCAGCAACGTATATACATTTTGGTTCATGGCATGGGTTGTGATCTCCTAGATGTAACAGCTCTCCTCTCAGCTCTTCCCCCTTTTTTGGTTTTCATTTACACGTCTTTTCTACTCTGTGCTGAAGGGAAATTACTTGTTGTGGCCCTTCAATCTATAATCTTTTTAGACCCCATCAGTGATTTGTTGGGAACATGAAAATAATGTGTGGAGGGCTATCATTCTCAGAAATTAGAAAGTGTTGTCATTCAGCTAAGTAGAAGTGACTCATCTCAGAGGCAGGAAGAGAGAAACCCCATGAGCATGAAGACAGCATTGGTGAGACAGCAGCGTCATCATATTCTGCAGCACGTGGACCGTTACACAGAGCAGATGAGACCAGGAGACAGCACAGAGGAACAAGGCTGAGATCATGGGACAGAGTGGTTTCTCAGAACATGGACGCAGTAGTACTTAATACATTTGGGCCTGAGGGTGGCTTCCTTCAGACATTCGCCAGTGCTGAAAGAGCTCTGTGACACTTGCCTGAGTAGGGTAGAGGCAACGCACCATGTGGCTAAGAGGCTGTGGACCACATCAAGATGTGCCTGCTCGCGTGGCTGAGAAGAGGAGTGATGGGAGAAGAGCTGCACCCACACTATTTTTAACTTCCCTAATACTGCAAACTTTCTGCTGTTGGTTGCTGTTTTTCAGCATTGGTTTGGATTTGCTAGAGATCACTCTGCTTTATTGGAATTCAAATCAACGTAATATAATGTTCAAATATGATAAAGGTAGTTCTTAGGGAAAATTTGCTTATGGGGTACCCGCCTCCCCACAAAACTCCGCATTTTTCCAGCTAAGCTAGCATCGGCATTGAGCAACTTGCTTTGAGTTAATGCACCGTGGGTGGCACCTGGGAAGATTCTCTCTGGTCACAATGAATTTTTTCATAAAGCAGTTTCACTTGAACCTCATTTTTTTGTGATGGCCAATTGAAGAGAACAGAATGTAGCTGGGAAATTTTGTTTCCTGCTCCAGAAAAATGCCATAGAAACTGGTGTGATGTTGAACACAGCTTACAAGGACAGTGCTATGGGGAACTCACGTGTACGAGTGGCTTTCTCATTTCCAAAAAGGTGACATGTCAGTTGATGACAAACCTCGTTCTGGACGTCCGTCAACTTCTCAAATGGATCAAAATGTCGACACGTAGTGCATTTTGAGCTTGTTCCATCAGGTCAGACTGTTAATCAAGCTTTTTATTTAGAGATTCTGAAAAGATTGCATCCCAGTGTGTGACAAAGAAGGCTTGATTTGTGACAGACAGGGGACTGTTTTTGCCACCATGGCAATGCACCTGTTCACGCAGGCATCTCAGTGCGCCAGATTTTGGTAAAAGCCAGCTTGCTTCTTTCCACATACCTTACTCACCTGAACTCTCTCTGTGTGACTTCTTTTTGTTTCTGGGAATGCAGAGGGATGTGAAAGGATAGTAATTTGACATCATAGAAGAGATGAAATACAAAATGAGGGAGGTGCTGTCATCTATCCAAACAGATGGGTTTGAAAAAATGTTTCCAAGAATGGCGCTGCAGATTTGACCAATGTATTAATTGTAATGGAGAGTCCTTTAAAGGTGATAAGGCTGTTTGAAAATTTTTTAATACAGAACTTTAAAAAAATTCCAGCTTTGGGGGGTACCCCTCTTAGATGTTGGTAGTTGCCATCAAGTCCGTTCCGACCCATGGCACACCTTTATGCCCAACAGAATGAGCCGCTACCCAGTTCTTAGAAAGCACACCTTTATGCACAACAGAATGAGCCGCTACCCAGTCCTTAGAAAGCACACCTTTATGCACAACAGAATGAGCCGCTACCCAGTTCTTAGAAAGCAACAGTTTTGAAAGTAATCAATATCACTAAATAGTGCAAGCCAAACTGTTGAATCACATATGTGACAGTTAGATGTGAAAGTGTATTGGGTGATATTCATGATAATTGCACTGCATTTTGCCATGGTATTATGATAATGAGATGAAAATTTTACAGAGCCTTTCTCTGTGATTCTCCATTTCCTTATTCACAGATTGGTGTTAAATTTCTAGATTTCTGCTAATCAACTTGGAGCTCTAAGGTTATACACTGGATATTCTTTTTATACACCACTTGCTGGGGATCATCTATGTACCTGTGAGGAATACTTTGACAGTAGTGAAACATTTCATGTTACTTTTGGGTAAAACAGCACTGGGGTTGGGGGCATATTTGACCTCTTCCAGGTCCCCGATTGCCACAAAGCAGAAGGCAGACATGTCTTCATCCTCTATCTTTCTGTACCTATTCCGATGGCAACCATTGTTTCCACAGCATTCTACTTCTCTACTAGGTTTGACCATTTGTGGCATGGCCATGCAAAACTCACAGACTTTATTAAAAAAAATTATTAAACTATTCTGAGACACAAAATGTCCTGAACTCTACTACCTTGCACAATTATGGAGGTTTACTAGGAAAGTTAACTGTTTACCACAAGTCAGGATCAGTAAACCATGAGGATACCATCACTGGTTCAGAACAACACTTCCACTCAGCTGGGCAGCAAGTCTCTGTGTAGTCTTCAGCCCCTCAGCCATGAAACCCAGGGCCTCTGCTTCTTCTGGCCATGAAGCCAGCCTGCTACACTGCTTCACAGTCTCCCAGTCTTGGTGCTGCTCCACTCTTCTGTCTCATGGTCTTCTAGCTTTGGCTCCTTTGATCTGTTTTGTGTTCTCGGTACCACAATCTGGTGTGAGCCTCTGCCTTTTCAGACAGAGTTCACAAATGTGCACCACCGCTGGATCTTCTTCCTTTGGTCCTTTGAATTGTATGATTCCTAGATTACTCTTAACCCAGAGTTCCATCGGAGCCGTTCCTCTGTGCATTTGTCTTTCAGCAGACTATATCCCCAGGGAAACAAGGGGTGGTTGGTGAGTTGGCCCATATCTCATAATAAGTTGGAGACTCAATACAGCTCACCTTTATCCTGTTACAGGAAATTCTTTCCAAACTGGGATTATACCCATAGGCATGGGGGTTAGAATACATCACATGGGATTATAGATATAGAAAGATACTGAGAGCTAAATTAATTGATTGCATCTCATAATAATTCACAATTAGAACAATATAAGGGATAGGTGTGTCAAACCCATGTACCTCATTACAGAGTTCAAATCATAATCAGTGTTCGTAGTCAAGACTGAATGGGTGACTCAGTATACAGCCAGAAACCAGTCATAGATCATCAGAGTTCAGGAGATTTTGTACCTCACAATATTTGAACATTTTTTTGCATAAAGTCTGAAGACTTAATAATGAAATCTTGTAGATGTATATCATATAAAGTGGATATTATAAATATATAAATAGTATCATAGCATTTTAGCATTATTATATAAGCCAATATTTTCTGACAGCATTGTAAACAATATGGGTTTATATATGCTTGTGAGATAAAGTTCAAAGAGTTATTTAATGACTGCATAACTCATTACTGACTTCAATTACATGATAAAGAAGAACTGTCGGACTGCTGATCCTAGTTATTTGATTTACTTTCTGATTCATACACTACAGTCATAGACTCCAGAAAGAAAAGAGTTATGGTGATTTTAGCTTTGTTTTTGACAATAAGTGATGTGACTGACACCTTTCAGGTTAGATAAAGCCAATAGGAACTTTTTGTTCACCATGATTGCTAATGGGGCTTAAAAGAGAATATGTGAAAGAGTGATATTTCTGACTGCGTACGCTACTTCAACTCCTATGTGAAAATGTAGTGACTTTAAAGAAAAAGTTGATAGATTATATGCGTTTATAGATTAACTGCATATGTCAGACAAAGGGAGGCAGATAAACAATAAAGATCACTGCACAGAGGAATAGCTAGGTAAATTATTGATCAAAGGTCAAAAGTCTGAAAATCAAATGAATGGTTTGCAACTGCGAAAAATATTTCTTACTGGTTCCGCCTGGTTTGTACTCTTGTCACCTCTAGGAATGCTCAGTCTAGACTGCATTCATCTGAGTTACAAGAATGATTCCCTGTGTCCCTGCGATCCATCTCTCCTTGAGTGCCCTTCTGTTCGGAGACATGCCTGACTGTGGAACTTGAGGATATGTGTCCTTCAATGTCCCCTGAGTATTTCAACAGCTGCCAAAGGCAGTAGCACACACGGGAAGGAGACCTCATAAGCATTTTCAGTGACGTAAGACTGCAAGTATATAACTGTGATGTGATGTGCTTGGTGCAAGTGGCATGAACTATCCAGAAAGAAGATTATAAGTAATCACTAAAAATATAATTTTATTATTTGTTTCTTTTAACCTCCAGCTCAAATAGCCTGGAGTGTGCCTGTGGGTGCTTCGGGGCGAGTTACCACATTGGCAGTATACTTCATTATTGTTGAAGCAAAAAACAAGAAAAGTCTGGGTACCTTTATCTAATTAGTGGCATAGGTTTCTATTGTTTATATGTTAAATAAATTTGCATCCTCTGGCCTCTGAACTTGGCTATTTAGCCCAGATTGACTGCGAGTGATCCTTCCCGATGTGCATTCATAACATTCCTGACTCTCTCACCTAACTTGGACCACTTCTCTGATTTGAACCACCAGTCACGTCATTTGGCTATGTGTTCATGGGTTTTCTACCTGGGATTTGGACTTTTGATTTACTTCCCAGTCTTTCAACAGTTCCTCCCTGCCACTGAGTTGAGCCTTACTCTTAGGAGCCCTATAAGACAGGGTAAAACTGCCCCTGTGAGTTTCCCAGACTGTAACTAAAGCATATGGGATTGCAAAGTCCTGTCTTTCTCCCAAGGAGAGGCTGGTGGTTTTGAAATGCTGGATTTTTGGATCACATTCCTACTCAGAACCATTACACCACCCAAGTTTCCTAATTTCCTCCGGAGGAGATTTTCACTAATGTCGCAGAGGTCAGAAAAGTCCATCTTTTCTCCGGCTAGTACGATGGTGCCTGAGAAAATCTGCCCGTTTTCAGGCGTTCTGAGTTTGGGACTCAACTTAGGCCTCGTGAATTAAATATCAATTTAAAAATGTGTTTTAAAAATCAATTGTGTGTTTAGAGGTTCTTAAAAATGTTATTTATACAAGGTATGTATAGAGATAGAATCACTTGAAAAATATTTTGATGAAACCCTAAAATATTAGACTTTGTCCCTAAAATAAGACATTAACTTAACAATCTTGACTTTCCCTTCTCTTGGAAATATGCTAGTTGTAAGTCCATAAAATCTTGATAAATGGTTTAGTTTTGTGCAGCCACTTACAATGTGTCACAGATGATATACAGAACAGTTAACAATTCAAAATGTTTGAAGTTTGAAAGACTCTTTGGTTGAGATTCACACAAAACTGATGCATAAGATTTTTGAAAACCTAAACAACAAATCAGAATATATTTCATTTATTGTCAAAAGCAAAAATGTGCACTTTTATAATAAGGGCATTGAAAATAAAACCATTTGGAATCATGAGGTTTGGGGGTTAAGTGTTAAGTCTCCTAAGGGCTGTGTGATCCCAGGGAGGCCGATAAAACCCCGTAAACTTTAATTTCTACATCTGTAACATTCAACAGAAAGATAACAAATTAATAAGATTTTATTAGCTTGATTTGTATACTACCTAGGATAATTCTGAAGGCTTTTCATTGGGACATTTTCTGCATACTCATATGCAACAAATGGGACATCAAAAAGAGTACTGTGAATCACACAGGTTTTCTGTTTTATTTCCTGTAAATTATACATAATAGAACACCTGTTTACCAAATGAAACTATTAAACCATGACAATACTGGAACAATATTCTAAATGATAATTCTTGAAGTTCATAAGGCTATTAAAGTTAAACCATATTTAATGTGGACATTTGAGATTTTCCTCTAAAATGCTTTTTAAAAGTAAGTTGAGGGCCTTACATATATACACACACATATATTTTTTTCCTCTTAACCTCATCGGAAAGTACACATACTGTTTGAATACTTTTTATTTCCCTCTATTTTTTTTTTTAACTAGAGCTTCCTTCCTTTCCTCTTAGACATTAACCCAGGATCCCAGCTCCAGGTCTGTGCCTTATACGTCTCTCACACAGCAGCAGGACATACTGGTAGAAGTGGATTAGAAGAGAAAAGGGGAAACAAAGAAGAAGTCCAAGCTTAGTCTAAAGGAAACATCTGGTCTCTAACTGCAATGCTGTGCTAAAAAAGAAACACCGACTGGGAATTTGAAGTTCAATTACCAACCATGACCATAGCAGATAAAGGGCAAATTCAGGAGTTAAGATGCTAAAGCGTAACCCTTGGTCAGTTTGACAAAACACCACCTTCCAGGGAACTTAACAATTGCCTTTCATATAATGACTAACTACAGGCAAAAATCCTAAGCTAGAAAACACTACTGTTTTTAATTTAACCGTTTCTCTAGTTTAGAATGATGGAAGCACAGTTAACATCTGCTGAATGTTCCTGTAGATTTCTCATAAAATTGACATTTCTCATAAAATTAATCGACTCTGTGCTCATTGTGTTCACAGAACAAGATCTAAAAAATGACTTTTATTTTGTACGCTTTTGCCTTTGTATTATCGATGTCTTCAGAAGTAGAGATAATGGGATAATGAGACCTTATCTGACCATATTCAAGCTTTCTACTTTATCAGCATGTTATCTATCTTGTGAAGATTGTGCAAATTGTTTTCTCTGTATTCAATCCCAAAGGCCTTGGTGCATAGAAATGGATCCATGGAGGACACAGAAACACAGGGAAGGATGTTGAGTAGTTGGTGTTGGATATTAAAGCAGAGATTAGATTAGAATCACAATGACCAAGGTCACTAACTTAAAAACAATAACGATTGCAAAATAATTTGTACATTTTTCATACAAACCAGTACCCACAAACAAGAGACTGGTGGTTGGATTTATTTAGCTACCATAGGCTGTGCAGAGTGCAAAAGAGATCAGGTGAACACATCAAGTCAAAATAAAGTGGCATCGCCACAATTTTTTTTTGTGGTAACTCAAGGGAGAAAGAATCTGTCTCATGGCAAGAAAAATATACCTTTGCATGAGAGTATACTTAATTTCCAGCCCAAACCAAGTAAGAGTGCGTTACCCTTGTCCAGCACATTGAAGGCTGGACAAAAGTTATTTCCATAACTTAAGTGAAGAAAAGTAGTTCTGCATAGCAGGAAAGGAAATTGATAGATAAACATGTTTGTGCCATTCAGGAGACAGCCATGATTAAAGGAAAGGCTACTACTGACGCTCTCAGGACAAGAGTCAGTCACTTCAAATGTAGGAGAGAACTAGTTTAGCTTCTTCAGTGACCATAGCCAACATTCTTCCCCCGTGAAACCAATACATGTCGAACCTTTGCATTGTACGTCTTCCTGGTCATGTTTCCTTCCAAGCAGGCTTGCTTGTTCTGTGGCAGTCCATGTCAGGATCGATGTTCCTTTCCCACACCCTAATAAAGGCATCAGTTCTCCGGTGGCCTTTCTTATTCCCTGTCCAGATTTTGCATGCATATGAAACAATCGAAAATGGCCTGGTGTAGATCGTGGATATGGCAGGCCTCAAAGTGACATCCTTGCTCCTTATTATTTAAAAGGCTCTCGCGAATCCGATTTGTCCAATATAATATGTCACTTGACTTATTGTCTAGTGCTTCCATGAATGCGGATTGTGGGGACAAGTGAAATCAAATCTTTGACCAAATCAATCTTTTCTCCATTTGTCACGATGTTCTTTATTGATCCAGTTGTGAAGATTTTTATTTTCTTTACATTAAGATATAATCCATAGTGAAATATTTAGTCTTTGACCTTCATCAGTACTTCAAGTCATCGTAACCAGAAGCTAGGTTGTGTCACTAGGTTGTGTATATTGCAGGGGGTTAACAAGCCTTCACTGGTCTGGAAGCCACATTCAACCACTGTAACCACTGTGCCTGACGGGATCCTAATAAGTAGCAAAGGCATCTTCATGACAAAACTGTCGGTGGCCATTTGTTTACCTTCCATCTTTCTTTACTCCATTTTAAACCGAACTCCATTCCCAACATAATCAAAACCATTTTTCTATTAAATAGCTAAAACTGATGAGTAGATTTCACATACCCTGTGGCCATACTGAGAATTTAACTATCATCTTCAAAAGAAGAACTACAGTTACTTAAATTGTGTAACCATATGTGAAATGTAAATTCTTTAAAATATAGTAAAGACAATCCACATAGTTATTTCAGTCGTCTTAAATCCCAGAGAAACAGAGTGTTGCTAAACATCCTTAGAGAACATAAAATAAGCATCTAGGTAGGGTCATAAGAATTGGAAGAGTTCTTTCTATTTCTACATTGTGCAACTTATCTTAATGGGTAATTTTGAGTAGTTTTAGGGAAGCAGTTCTCAACCTGCGGTTCGAGACCCCTTTGGGGTCGAATGACCCTTTCACAGGGGTCACCCGATTCATAACAGTAGCAAAATTTCAGTTTTGAAGTAGCAACAAAAATAATTTTAGTAATGGGGAGACACCACAACATGAGGAACTGTATTAAAGGGTTACCGCATTAGGAAGGTTGAGAATCTCTGTTTTAAGGTATCATTGAAAAAAGTATTTAGCCAGTTAACATTCTATTGACAATCTATAATTTACACACTTTCTGCAGCAGCCTATGAATAGCTTCTGACCAATAACATGCCACATATATTTTCTTTCCTGGTTTCCCTCAGGAAGAGACAGCTTGGTTAAATATTTTGGTAACTTAGTAAAACTTTAGAGTTTATTTATACAACTCTAGTTTAATAGATTGTATCAACACATGCTATCAAAGCAAGTTCCCCTTTTGCCACCTAGACTCAAGTTCCTAGATAAACTTTTAGTTGATTTAGTTTATCACTAGGATTTCCAACTGAGAATTATTTTAGTTCTTCCTATGGCCCTTAGAAATTTTGTTTTAGGAAGAAATGTGTCATACTTATAGTCATGTCATAGAAACTTCTAATGTTACGCATCATTCAAAATATGTATTAAAAAGGCATTCTGAAAATAATTTTAGATTCCCCATTTGATTTTCTTTTTTGTTTGTCTGTTTGTTGTTTCCAGCCATGTTACAAGATGTAAATAATGAATAAATTACTAATGGTGAGAACTGACTCATAGGAATCCTATGCAAATAATATTATATGATCCTTGAGGAGAATCAAGGATTCTTGTTGTTCATCACAAGAGAAGCTAGTCCTGGAACATGGGAAATTAGGAACCTCTTCATTTAGAGACACAGTCTCTTCTCATAAGTTCCTGGAGAACTTGAAATCCTTAGAACAATAACCCCTTTTCTCAAACTCCCTGCTTTGTACTCCTAGGCCACACTTCTATTATCTAAATCTTCCACCCTTCATATCCAAGCCTTTAGAATGCTGTTGTAGTCTCGGTAGACTAGAGAAACAAATACAGGGAGACTCATATGTGTATAAGAAAGAGGTTTATATACAAGGACA